TCTAATGATCGACCATGGGTTAACAGCAATCTGAAATCACTGATAAATCGACGACAAAAAGTCTTTGCATCTGGTAATGTCCCTCTTTTTAAAATGTTACGTAATAAAGTTAATCGTGAACGAAAACGTTGTCGTAAGAGCTATTATCAATCTAAAGTTCATAATTTACGTAACACTAACCCCCGAGATTGGTGGCGGGAAGTGAAGCAGTTGTGTGGCACATTTAAACATAACAACAAAAGTGTAAAAGACCGCCTCAATCAAGATTTATGGCAGGAGACAGACATAAACCTCAGTAATAAAATTAACAATGTTTTTATAAATGTGATACAGAACTATGTTCCATTATCTGAAGATACGGCTGTAATTGTACACAACGATGAAACACCTATTGTTGTGACCGAGTCAACTATAGCTAGAAAATTGCAAGAAATTAGTACATCGCGTTCCAGTGGCCCTGACGGTATTTCCAATTGGGTTTTAAAAACCTATTCGGATATTCTCGCCTCACCAGTTGCGCAAATATAATCAATTCTTCCTTTCAAAGTTGTAAAGTCCCTCAAATTTGGAAGCTGGCTGATGTGGTCCCCTTACCAAAAACATCTACTGTCAAAGACTTGGAAAGGGAATTACGACCTATTTCTTTAACTTCCACCCTATCAAAGATAGCGGAACGTCTTGTAATCGAAAGAGAAGTAAAACCAACTTTGTTAAAGGTTGTTGATCCCCAACAATTTGGCTTTATTCCAAATTCTTCCACTGTACTTGCCTTGATATCGATGCTCCATTGTTGGTTGAGTGCAACAGATGGAAGTGGTTCATCTGTTCGTACTGTATTTCTTGATTATAAAAAGCATTTGACATGGTGGATCACACCACATTAGTTGCGAAATTATTCAGCCTTGGTATTAAGCCCTGTGTGGTTAACTGGATTATTGACTTTTTACGTAATAGATGGCAAAGGGTCAAACTAAGTGATAATTGTTTCTCAGACTGGCTCCAAGTTCCAGCTGGTGTCCCTCAAGGCACACGACTTGGGTCTTGGCTATTCTTAGCCATGATAAATGACTTGTGTTACAAAATCACCTTTCAGAAATGTGGAAATTTGCCGATGATACTACGGTCTCTGAAATTGTTGAAAAAAACGAACAAAGTACTTTACAAATGGATATCGATGATATTACTACTTGGTCTATGAACAATTCCTTTCAACTAAACCCATTTAAATGCAAAGAAATGGTAATATCCTTTTCACGATTACCACTGTTTTTGAACCTATACGTATTGGTGACCGAAATTTGGAAAGAGTGACAAGTATCAAATCGCTTGGAGTTATATTAAGAAATGACCTTAAATGGATAGACCATGTAAATTCAATTGTCTCCAAAGCAGCTAAACGTTTATATTTGTTGAGGCAACTCAAACGTGCTGATGTCGCTTCAGCAGATTTGGTCAAATTTTTTTGCAGCTGTATAAGGTCTGTCCTCGAATATGCGTGCCAATTATTCCATAGTTCCCTGCCACGAAATCTTGCAAAAAACATTGAACGTATACAGAAGCGAGCAATGAAAATAATATTCTATGAATTGTCTTACGACGAGGCTCTTAACATCGCTGGTATTTCTACTCTTGAAAACAGACGGGAGTATCTATCCAATAATCTCTTCAACGACATTGTTTTAAATGATAATCATAAACTTGCCAAACTTTTACCATCCAAAGCAGGCAATAGAGAATTACGAAAAGAAAGATCTTTTGAAGTTTCACCAGCAAGTACAAATCGTTCCGGAAACTCTTTTATCAACTTTTATGCTAAGAAACATTACAAATCAGATGTTCCTTGAACATTTTAGAATTTTTAACTCATATAGATTAGTATATTTAAGTATATGATATATAGTATATATTAACAATTTCTAAATTGCATTGTAATATAGAATTTTTTACTATTTATAACCTTGTAACACTTAACGTCATGTAATTCAGTCTTCTGACTGCCAGATGATGTTTTTATTAAACAAACTATTCATTCATTCATTCATTATATATATATATATATATATATATATATATATATATATATATATATATATATATATATATATATATATATATATATATATAGGGATAAGGACATAGTTATCACCCCCACGGATAAGACTAAACGATTACTTGCTTTGGATTCAACATCATATTATGATATGCTACATAGATCAACAACAGAGACAGGAATTTGTAATTAAAGAATTAAATAGACTAAATCTACCGGGGACGGAACAAATAAACTTTAATACCCGTTCGAACAAAGTTACTAACAAATATCGATATAAGAACCCCAAGTTATATAAGGACCTCAGAGCTACTATCTACCCACTATCTATCTAACCACTACCCTGCTGTGCCTACTGTCTACCCAAAGATCATAAGGAGGTATCGGAAATTAAAGGTAGACCTATACACGCAGCTACTAGTCTAGGACCTGTATATGAGTTTGTATGCATTTCATTTACCACAGGTAATCTCAACTGTTTTAGGGTAAAATGACCATGGCGGTCAACATGGC